GGCGGCCACCGCGCTCCCTTCCCCGCGTGGGGGACTCGGCTCTCAAGCCCTCATTGCCGCCCGGAGAGCCCTGACGCACACGCATACGGCAGCAGGCTGGCCTCTGCTAGGAATCCCAGGAAGGACAGACCCTTCCCCCCCCCTTTTTTCCTCCCCCCAATTTCCACGTCTTTATAACTGGCTTAGGACATTATTAACACATGTCCTGGCTCGTGGGCGAGTTGGTGGCAAAATCTGAACTGGATACTCACGGAGGGCCCGAGCGGGTGCTATTCCTTCTTGGCCCTCTTCCTGGCCGCTGGGAAGGGCCCCTAGCCGGCGGGCTGCGGGCGGGTGGCCGGGCGGAGCGAGCCTCCTTTCGGCAGCTCAGCGGTGCGCCTTCTGCAGCGGTGCCGCCGGGAACATTTTATAGTGGCGGCTGGCGTGTGTGGCCCTTTAAAGGCGCTCGAGCTGGTGCAGTCACCGCGAATCGTGTGAAAGCGAAGGGCTGGCTGGGGAACCGAGTCTTTGCTGCCCCGTCGGTCCGGCAGCCCCGGGGACCTGCCACGGCTCCCGGGGTGGGACTGGCAGGCCCAAGCTGCGGGCACTTCTTGCTCGGAGTCCCGGACGGCGCCTGCGCTTCTAAAGCTAGTGGGGCCCGGGCCCGGGACCGGGCTCTCCCCACCGCCCTGCATGGACTTGCCCAATAAATTCCACTTAGTAATTTCTTTGAGGCGAGGGAGAGCTGTTAGTGTCTGTTTTCTGACCTAAATCTAACGGGTGGCCAGAGCTGGGTCCAGGGGGTTCGACCGAGAGCTGTGGGATCAAGGAATGACCCGGAGGGGCGGACGTATACGAGATGGGGCTCGCGGGGCAGGATTTAGGTTTTCTTCAGGGCTTTCTCGCAGCCGGTCGGCTTGCTTTGGGTTGCACCATCTTTCTCCCTTGTTGAAGGATCGAGGCTTGGGGGAGTCCCTTTCCCCTTAAAGTCTCCGGATTCCGGGCAGAGCTGCACCGAGGTTTCATCTAGCAGCGGTGGCCTCTCTCGGAGGCCTGAGCCGGGGTTGGGTTCGAGAGTTTCTCTCCCATGTCATCCAGGGTGGAAGGAGGCTGGCGGGATGCCGCGCGGAGAAATGATGCCCTCCGGGACCGTGGGGCCAGGTGCATCTCACAAAACTCGCCCCAAAGCCAAGAACAGACTACAGGGTACGAAGAGCTTGGGCCGGGGTTCGCGGGGATCCCTTCCGCCTTCCCACGATGCCAGGTCATTTTATTATGATTATAGAATAATTTCCATCTAGAAAGAACAACATTTTGCATTCGGAGCACATCTTTCTGGGGTTGGAATGCTATCTTATAAATCCTCACGGGGAAAAAGGTCCGGGTATTCTCCCTCAATTCGTGTTCCTTGTGACCAACAAGCTCCCATCTCACCTTACAGGAAGGCTACCAGGATTACCCCTCTATGAAACTCCCCATTTGTCCCCTTTCAGCAACAACTACTCAGTTTACACTGCTTATAAAACATGCTATTTTAAAAGTCCTGATGTTAAAAAAAAATGGGGGGGGGGGGAATGTCATGAAGTCTGTCACTATGTATGTGTTCTGTCTTCTTAATTAAATTTGAAGACCTAAAGGTTTCTTTTCCTCCTTCATTTTTTTCAGTACTCCCAAGTGCCCTGTGTTTGCTCTTCTAACAAAGTATTGTTTGTTGACGGACTAACCAGCTTACTGACACAGAGATGGGGAGCAAACCGAGGGACGGATCAAGGCCCTTCCTTGGCACCTGGAGGAAGCTGGGGCGAGTACCCCGGACGCCAGGTAAACCCTTTCCCTAGTTCCGAAAGCTGTCTTGTGCACTTCCACTCCTCCCCAAGACAAATCCTCGGAAACAACCACATCCTACACTGCATCTCTGAACTTTCTCACTTTGCCCAAAAACCGTGGGGTCGTGCCATTTTCCTCTGATTAAAGGTGGGATTTGTCAGGACCTTACAGCTTCATAGGGTTTGCATGTAAAATACACCCTGAAGCCTTGTTGGTGTTTGCCTGTGGTGAAAAAATGTTCCTGTGAAAACCACGTGGTGGAGAATCCGGCCGTAGGCTTTCCAATTGTGTGTTGCTAATTTGGACCCTGGACCTCTCCCCCTCCCCCCAGCTCCGAAGCGGTCTGGAAGCGGCGGTGGCGGCGGCGGCGGCATCTCCACTGCAGACTCCGGATCCATCCTGAAGGTGCGGATCCAGCCTCCATCTATTGGATGACTCCCAGGCCAATTGTTAGAAAGAGGCATACGTTCATCTCGGCTTCTGGAGTGTCTCCCGAGCAGTTGCTCAATAGCCAGCCCCCTCCCCCATCCGGACCTTTGAAGGGCAGAAAAAGAAGCGCCCTCCGCCACATTTCTCTGTGCCCACATGCCAGAAAGGGCCTCCCCACTAGTGACTTCCTGTCATCTCCATTGCCCACCTCCTGGGAAGAAGGAAAGAGAGGCTTCAAGCACTCAGCTTTGGAGCACAAAAACCACCCCTTTCCTTTTGGGGGGAGATGGGAGAGGAGGTTAGTTGCAGAGGCTGGGAGGGGGCAAATGAGACATTTTCATTTTTCTGCAAATATCCCCTGGATCACTGACTTCTCAGTCAGCTCCAGCCAAGCTCAGAGCTCTCCTCTGAAATCTTATCTCCAACTTGGCAACTAGGATGCGAGCTCACGAAGCAAGGAGAGTACAGGGATGGTTACCCACGAAGAACCTTCTGTTCACCAGCATTGGGCAAGGCATGTTCCCATCCATCATCTAATTCCCACGACAGCTCTCTGGTTTACCGAAGGTGAAACGGAGTCTCCAAGACTTGCCCAAGTTCACACAGCGAAGGGGCCAGATGTTTGAGCCCAGGTCAGGCTGTCTGCCAATCCCTTACCCTTGTCCCTATACCGCAGCTGCCTAGGAGGGTAAGGAAGCTGGTGCCTGCTGTGTAGTAAGTGCTCAATAAATGCTGGCTGTTATTACACTGTGCCTTCTGATTCTTTTCCTCTCTCCTCCTAGCCCTGCCTCAGCTCACACACTTTGGGTTCTGTAATACCGATTAGTTAAAAAACCAGGCTGAGTGGGGGTTGAAGGCCGTCTCAGGAAGGAGAGGGGAGAGGAAAACGTAGATTTGTTCTAAAAATCCCACCCTTTAGAACAAAGGACTGCCTGAGCCAAATGACGGGAGTAAATTTGGGACCAATAAAAGATGATCACTCCTTATAGGACAGCCTGTAAACTTACAGAGGGGTTGCCAGAAACATATACTCAATATGTGTGTAGAAAATTTAAAAACCACAAGTCTTTGCTCAAGAATGTTTGCAGCGGGATTTTTTATATTAGTGAAAAATGGAAAGCAATCTATATGTCGATGGTATCGAGGGAGTATCCCTAGATACACTGACACTAAAAAAAAAAAAAATCTTGATTTCAAAAAATTTTATTCATGGGATAATGTTCACAATAAAATATTAAATAAAAAATGCTAGGTACAAAGTTGCATATATATAATGCCAAGTTGCAAGGGGCACAGAGGGTACGAAATTAAATACTGTATTTCTAACCAGGTATGAATATGCATATAAAGCAAGGGGCATAAATGCATGAACATGCAACATCTTTCCATTTATTTAAGTATTTTTTAATCTTTTTCAGTAGTGTTTTATAATTTTCCCCCATCTCTGTGGCTTTCAGTTGCTTGTTTAATGTCTTTTATGACTCAAAAGAAATTTAATGAAGACACACCCTATGCTAATCCTGTTTCATTAACATAACAAAGACAACCCATTCCCAAATGGGCTTACACCCACAGGCATAGAGGTCAGGATTTACAACACATTTTGGGGGACACAATTAAGTCCATAACATGCCACCCTTTGCCCCCCCCCCAAAAATTCATGTCCTTGCCACATGCAAAACGCATTCACCCTATCACATCATCCCAACACTCTTAAATCCACTCCAAGTCCAAAATCTCATCTTCTGAATCATCTAAATCAAATATAGGTGAGACCTTAGGCATATGCCATCCTGGGGCAAAATTCCTCTTCATCTGTGAGTCTGTGAAATCCAGAATACAAGTTACCTGCTTCCAAAGTACAATGGTGGAACAGGCACAAGGTAGATATTTCCATTACAAATGAGAGAAATTGGAGCGAAAGAAGGGATAACCGGCATCGAGTAAGTGCAAAACCTAGGAGAATAATTTACATTAGCTCTCAAGCCTTGAAAATAATCCTTTGTTCCCGGAGACCATTTGGGCTACGGCCCTGCCCTCCAGACTCTGGGTGTTGGCAACGCCCTCTGGATTCTGGGTGGAGGCCCTTCAGCCCCTTCCAGGCCCTCTGGGATGGCAACTCGGTTCCCTCAGCTTTACGCAGCCCCATTCTCCTAGTCCATCTGAGTGGTGACCCCACACCTTTGGCCCAGGCAAGCACCGTTCTTCTGCCCCCCTTGTGCATAGCACCCCCACACCCTCAGCTTTAGGTGGTGGCCCCATCCCCCTGGTACACCTTAACGGCAACCTCGCACTCCAGAAATGAGCTGGAGAAGATCTGACTCTTGGAAACCTAGGAGATTGTGACCCTACTCTTTGAGATCCTTGAGACCGTGGTTCTACCCTTTGAAACCGAGAAGGCCCTGCTTCCTATGCTCCTTCCAACAGTTCTGCTGATCTCCAAGCTGCTCCAGAGATGTTTCTTTTCTTTTCTTAGAGGACAGCAGATGTAGCTCCTTGATGCTGTTTCCTGTCTGTAGAATTCCAAGGGGCAGACAGTGTTCTTTCTTTCATTTTTTTCTCTGTCCCCTTAAGTCTAAGCTAATGGATTTTTTTCCCTGTGGTAGTTGGTTAGATCCATCAGTCACAGGCTTAATCTCTTTAACAAAAGATTGTGTAGCCACCTCCTTGGTGAACATTCTAGGACACATATCCTTAGTTTGTACAACAGAATTTTCCAAATCTTTAAGTTCTGTTTTCATTTTGCACAGTTCATATTTAAGTCCATCTCTTTTATCTCACATTTTTCTGTAAGTGGCAAGGAGAAACCATGTGGCTCCCTTAAGATCTTGCTTAGAAATCTCATGAGCCAGTTATTCAAGTTCATCACTTACAAGTTCTACCTTCCACCAAACATTTGAACATAATTTAGATGTGTTCTTTGCCACTGCATAAAAAGCACTGCCCTTCCTTCACTGTCCAATCACGTGTTCATCATTTTCTTTTGAAGCATTACCAGAAGCACATTTAACGTCCACATTTCTAGTAGCATTCTGTTGCTGGCGCTATATGTATTCTCTAAGATGATAGAGACTTTCTCTATAGCTCTCCTCACTTCCTTCTGAGCCCTCATCAGAATTGCCTTTGACATCCATAATTCTACTAATGGTCTCTTCAAGGCAATCTGGGCTTTTACTA